ACGAAATAACACAAAAATTTATGACAGCTGAAGTTGCTGAAAGAGGATTATCCCAGTTTTTTAACCTTCAACACAAAAGGTGTTAAAATCCTAATATGTTTTGTCTGTAGCATTTTGTTTCTAGTACATTTTTATTTTTAAGATCGATAATTTTACTTAACTTAACTAAAACTTTAATTTGAATTACAATAAGTAACTAAAAGAATTGATTACCAAGTTGCAACAAATTTAGATAAAAAATGAAATTAAAATAGCACTGACTTCCCAAAAGAAGGAGGTACTCAGTTCGTCTGTATGGTTTTTTAATAAAACTCACTTATTCTTTGTGTTTGAAAATTGATGGATATTTCAATTTATATTTTTGTGATTTCGCGACGAGATCTTAAAGCACAATACATTATTGCTGAAATCCATTACCGTTATTGGAGTATTAAAATCGTAAAAGATTCGTATCTTTTAAACGTAAAATATTCCTTTATTATGCCTGTAACATCGGAAAAAGAATTATCAATCTGTCTCGTATTTTATTATTAAGATTTTTATAATTATGTTAACATCATTTTTAACTAGAACATTTAAATTCATATCTATACTATAAGATCGCTAAGTTACTTACTAACTAGGAGAGTCTAAGAGCACACAATAAAAAAAATTGGTAGATGAAGTTCAGTATAAAATCTGCCTATGTAAGTGTTAATTTTTCTCACTCAACTAAAATCGAGCGTAAACCGTTAACTAAACGTCCAATTGTTATGCGATTGTCGATTGTTTCGCAGCCTTTTCAACTGTTTATTTGCAGAACTAAAAATCGAGTAATGTGTCACAGTATAAGGTCATACGAATCAAAGCGCGACTAAAGAGTTGTGCGATTCTAGTCAAAGGTGTGCGTGCTCTAAAAGAATGTTTCATATTGGAAAACAAAGCCTTCTATCGTTCAAATAGTGCGTACACTTATGTAAGTTTGAGATTTATGTTAACCTGATATCAATTCTGTCCCTTCCCGTTTGTTATTTATGGTGCTATACATGAGGGTTCCGAGTATTATTCGAATTGAAGACATCGAAGAATTTCTTGTTCAATGTGATTTATAAATTAATAACAAATGAATTGTTTGAATGAAAAATAATGAATAATTTTGTCGATGGCGTTACGAAAATGTTCTCATGAATATTCGTGATAAACCCTCCGTAAATAAAACTTTGGGATTTATAAAATAAGTTATTTTTTTTAATCCAACAAATTAGACCAAACCACCAACAAAGCACTATTTAACAATGTTTACTTTTTAATTCGCTAGGTCACTATTACAATAAACCACATGAAAACTTTGAATTACATATTTTTGAAGAAGTAGAAGAAGAAGAATTACATTATAAAATATAGGGCAGATTACTAATAGTTTAAAAAGAATGAAAACAAACAATAAAATAGACAAACAACGTATTCAAACACAATGTTAGTAAAACTTGTTCCCGCGACCTCAAGTGAGTCCGTGTGAAGCGGTCCACCTGTCATGTGCCTTGCTTTGCTCCCTTAATTAATTTATGGTAGTCAAGATAAACATATTGTGTTGAGAACTTAGTAACGACGAAACACAGTCACAAATGATAGCCGTATTATGTTACATTTATTGAAAACTTTGCTAGCAATAGCATTTTGCAATATGCTAGCTTTTGTCCGTGATCCCATCAGCGCGGAATAAAAAATCAAAGTAAGTAGCTTATGTGTTTTTTCAGACTATACTCTACATCTATGCCAAATTTCATCGAGATCTGTTCAGTCCTTTAGGCTACAAACTCTAACAAATATTCCTAACTCTAACAGACAGCCCTCTGTCTAAACTTTCGCATTTATAATATTAGTAAGACTGCTTTGTGTTCTCTAAATAACCAATATATTGTGATAGAAGATTAAGAGCGTTGGTACAACTGAAACTAAACCATCGCACAACTGTTTAGTCACGCTTTGATTCCTATGAGCTTATATGGAGGTGCGCACACTAGTCCATTTTTAGTTGTGCAACTAAACAGTTGAGTTGGCTACGAAACAATCGACAATCGCACAACGGTTATGCGATAGTTTAGTCAAGGGTGTGCGGCCGCTCTAATATTAGCTATTAATAGCTACGTACTGATTTAAATGTAATTGAATGCATAAGAATAATTTTCTTCGCCACATCTGCGAATGAAATCAAAGACTCCCAAGTTAATGATTGTTGAGGTGCTGGGAGAAAAAAATAAATGCGTCTAAGTGCTTGAATAATTCATACGATTTCATGATTTCGGACCGAATGGCAGCCAAACCAAACAATTTCGTCGTTTATTGAATTCTTGACAAAGACAGAACTCGGTTTGATTTTCTCTCAAATTATAGTCCAAGCATGAAAATAACAGTTATAGCATTTATATTATTTTCCATATTAATACTAGCTGAGACTGTCTACCGGGAATTATGAAACTGCATCAAAAGAACATTAATAAAATTACGTTTAGTATTTTATAAACAAAATATCGTTTTCGGTATTGAAAACTCGCATTAAGAGTGATATATAAAATTTTACTGACAGGTTACATAGTGTAACGTTACAAGGTGTAACATTCTCATTAAGATGCTGTTTGCTCGCTGGATTCTCCATATCACGTACTGACTGCATGAATGCTCGTCATGTAACATTAACGCGCTAAGTTCTATCATACTTCATACTAATATTATAAATTCGAAAGTTAGATGAATGGATGGATGTTTATTAGAATTTGTAGCCTTAACGACTGTACAGATATCGACGAAATTTAGTATAGATGTAGAGGACAGTCTGGAATAATACATAGGCTACTCACTTTTGTTTTTTTAATCCCACGCGGACGGAGCCGCGAACGAAAGCTAGTTTGTACATAAAACTGTTATCCATTCAATATAAATAAGATATAAAAAGCTAGTAAACTGTATTGCTATCCAATATGTATTATGATATAGTTTTTGTGAGCAATCAAGTGTGGGTTTTACTTACAAATGTCCTTTTGTCCCAGCTTTGTCCAGCGTAATGGATGCCAAGACAGGGCTTATTATTGTTTACGCTTTTGTGTCAAGATATTCGCCGTAATCTATGTCATAGTACATATTTGTTTGTATTTTCTTATAAAAATAAGATAAAAGGTTTACTTTCTAAAAGACATATATAACATGTACTAGCTTTTGATTCCGTCTGCTTGGAATTAAAAAAAAAACTAAGTAACCTATGCGTTCTTCTTTGCTCTATATTTATGCCAAATTTCATCTAAATCCGTTTAGCAGTTTAGGCTACAAACATTTTTTTTTATAACATAAGGTGGCAAACGAGCAAGCGGCCACCTGAAATGGCCAAAATGGCGAAGCGACCGCTGCCCATAGACTTCCGCAATTGCAGATGCGTTGTCTACCCTTATCCGACGGAGGAGGAGATGCACATAAAGAGGATATTTCCCCTTCCTATGCATCTCCTCCACCGTCAAATCCACTTCCTCTTCCCAACCTCTCTTTATACGAAAAGGGTGGTAAAGGGAAAGGGACTTAAATTAGGCCTCCGGCACCACACTCACATCAGACGAAACACGGAATTGCTTCCATTTCACGCCTGTCTTCTGTGTGGTCGTGGTATTACACCGGGCGTGCCGGCCCTGCAGTGCTAAGATGTTAAAGCGGGCACTACCACTGTTAAAAACATCCATCTAAACTTCTGTATTTATAATGTTAAGTACATTTTTTCAAATATACGAGTATTAACTATAAACAAAAGATCGATAAGCTACTCGTGAAAATTACTCAAATCTAATCGCACTTTACAATACAGTCTCTTCTTAATTTATTAGCATAAATACCATTTGAATATAATTGAAATAATCTCTTAGGGAAAGTGAATAAGTAACAATAGAATCGACCCGTATAAAACATATGCTAGGCCTCCACAAGCCCAAGAACAATGTTATAGCCATTAACATATGAATGCCTCTATTCAAAACAATAGTGTTACAGCATATTCAATGTATACTTTATCACGTCATTTTAATGTAGAGATACATCGGTAGAGGTAGGCTTAGGAAGAAATGGATGGTGAAAGGTGACAATCAAGGGAGTGACTTATGACTAAGGATCAACCTAGAGTACAAAATCGTGGTGCGTACACTACGTAGGTAGAATAAAGACAGATAGGATCAAGTAATTATTTTACACAATAAATCTTTCAGATCAGTATTCATAATTTTGGGGTAGTCTAATCAACTTCCTTTCCTTATCATTCCAGTTTGAATTCATATTTGTTACCTTTATCAGACACTTTTGTTACTAATCTAAAAATAATGTAAAAAAAAAGTAAAATAATAAAAGTCTACGCACGTAGGCCATAGACCGCTACTACAGTTTAACCCCTATATGACAACCATCGTAGTTTAATAAGATAAATTGATAATTGTTAAAATTAATTTAATATAATTGGTTCAATTTTAACAATATCCTCTGCATAACCTTTTTGTAAAAATTTCAAATATTATTATAATTCCATTTCAGCGTAACTTTTAAAGTACGAAAAAAAGCCAACGAATATTTCACGATAAGAGATTCCTGACACCGTAATTGCTGAAAGCGTCAGCGTTTGACGCTAAATAAAATATACATTGTATATATTAAATGTCCGTGTGGAAACCTAATTTTTCGCACCAACTCCATAGGGTCTGTAAAGACGAAATCAACAGTTTTGCGCGCGCGGCTACGAGCCCACCCCTCAGTCGACCCTTGGACGCAGGGGCGAGTGCACGTCTATTTCTACCGCAAACGCTCACGACGTCGTTGTAGACAAATCTTGACAGAAACTATACCCACTGTGATAACAAAATAAATTAACCAATTAAAATACCTTAACATACAATTAAATTAAATACGTTAGAATTAACTTTAGTATTAGTAGTGTTTCTTGTGAGTTAGGGTTTAAATGATGTGGTGTATATCCGAGGTGGGGTGACTATGAACAGAACATAATTGTGATGACAAAATGATCACCAGAGACACGGAGCGACACTGAACGTGTAGCCAGGTAATCATTTTTTTAATTCTTTATGTAAAACATTTTTTTTTATGATGAAAAATATACTATCCTAACTGAACATATTGCTACAAATGGGTTTAAATGTGTTACATGTTCTTTTAATTTTATGTTTTGTGTAATAATTAAAATTGTAAAAATAAAAGTAACAGAAAAGAATGTCATATTTTAGAATTTATTTTCGTGTTTTTTAATTATAAATACGTGTATAATCCTCGATTAAATTAATAACATTTTTCAACTAATTTATAACATCACGTAATAGAAAAATGTTTTTTATAAGACAGAATTTAAAAAATGCATCTACGAATTAACACGCGTCAGTACTTTTTTAAACTAAATTGTATTTAATAAAACATTAATCATTATTTAGTTTATCTTAAGCTAAAAATAGGTTAAGCAAAAAAAAACCAACAGTTAAAAACAACTTAAATAATAAAGCTTTTCTTTCTCTCGAATAGAAGAAATTCTTTTGAATATAATTACAACTCTGTTAGACATTAGATAAATATATATCTAGATCAGTGAGACTGTTTAATAATCACACTGATATTATAATTTTTTATATAATATATTTTATTTTATTTTTATATTCTTGTAAAATGTATTATATAGAGAATAAGAAATAAAGATATATGGATTATAAATGCGAAAGTTTAGATATATGGATGGATGTCTGTTGGAGTTTGTAGCCTAAACTACTGAACGGATCTTGATGAAATTTGGCATAGATGTAGAGAATAGTCTAGAACATATAGGCTATTTACTTTTGTGTTCTTAATTCCAAGAGAACGAAGTCACGGGCGAAAGCTAGTTTAAAATATGCATAACACCTAAATTACAGCTAATTCTACGTAGGCGTGTTGAAGAAAGTTGTTCAAGATTGGCCCGAATGTGGTGCCAGGATTATGGGCGTAAGTTACGTTGTCTTCGTGGATGTATATAATAATTTCTCGTAATAGAGTTTACCTTAAAACATATTTATTCTTATTTAAACATACTAAATAAACGTAAATTGTTGTTTAAATATTTTAAAGTAAGTTTAGTACAACAAAATTTATTTGTCATTTTGTTAGCTATATCCTTGTCCAAGTTTCAGAAACTAATTTCAAGCAACAATTACATCGCTCATTTCTCTCCAACAGTATAACAGTAGAGAGACAGATTGACAGCGCCCTCTATAACTAGTTTACTCGTCTTGAATGTCAACAATCATTTTCCTTTCAAGTTTATAGAACTACTAGTTTTCGCTCGCGACTCCGTCCACGCGGAATTAAAAAAAATGCAAGTAGCCTATGAAGTGTGATTGTTGGCTATAGACCAAATTTGACTGACCCTGTGAGCGTATGAATGTTTTCAATAGCTTATTAGCTAAGCTAAACACGATCAGTTCATCACACAGTTTTGTTCGACATATCTAAACTAACGTGTATAGTGGGCTTTAAAGTCAAAATAGTCACACGAAATTGTGGGACTCTACTTGTATTGTTATCTCTTATGTAATTTTCTTTGTCTGAGTAAATTATCTTCTGAGAGTTAAATCGTAATTAAACAATTAATATTGATATAAGAATTAAAAATATTAACTACTGAGTAAAACATTATTTTCCTTTTGAAAGATCTATCAAGCATTGTAGAGTACATAATTGCGAGTATATCTTACTTTTTACTAATATTATAAAAGCAAAAGTGTATATGGATGGAAGTTTGCTCGAGTTTCAAGCCTCAACTGCTAAACGGATCTCGACGAAATTTGATATAGATGCAGAGGATACTCTGGAAGAACACAGAGGCAACTATCTTTTGTTTTTTAATTCCACAAGACGGAGTCGCGGGCGAAAACTAGTGTTGCTATTGTATTAAAAATTAACAACAATGTCTAATAAATAAGACTTTCTTGAGAAGAGATATTAAGCTCATTTGATACGTTTGTTATTAAAAAAAAACTACCGTTTGAAAAGGCTTTTGCACAATGCAATTTGTTCTCCGTTGGAAAATATTTTTAAAGTTCACTGAAGCATCGAACGCGCCTGGATGAACATACCGACATTTTTATATATCTTACTAGTCTGCTAGTATGTATAAAGAGTTTTTACCATACATTAATAATATTGGCATATTATTTATTCTAGAAATGTCATGATTGTCATCCCAACGTAGTTTGTAAGATGATTTTGAAGTTTCCACTGGGTTGCCTGTAAGATGTTGCTCAAAGCAATAAGGCCGCTCTTGCACATATTTTGTTTTTAATATGAAAGGTTAAAATTTTGTATAACTAGTATTTAATTTGTGTGCATAAAGTTTTAAATAAATAAATGAATATTCTTTCTTCAACATCTGAGCTTCGAGACGTTAATATACGTAAAACATATATACGTTTCTACCGCCTTCAAAAAGGAGAAGATTTTTAATTCTACTGGTTTTTTTTTAATTGTTTTACTCCGGTCCTTGTTAAAGTTTCATAATTATTTTTTATTCGACAAGTTCTTTAAAATATTTTTTTTTAATATAGACAAGATAGTTACAAAAAAGAATAGTTTTCACTAGCATACTAATTATTTATTATAAGCGTGAAAGTTTAGATGGATGTTTGTTATAGTTTGTGGCCTAAACTGCTAAACGAATCTCAATGAAATTTTGTATAGATGTAGAGGATAGTGTGGAAGAACATATAGGCTACTTGGTTCTTTTTTAATAGTACGCCGACGGAGTCGCGGGCGAAAGCTAGTTTAAAATAATTCGCTAGACTGTTTGGTTACTCTTCAGTACATTTTATTTTTAAATATTTTATTTTAAAGTCGGTTTTGTTATTTTCAATTAGTCTTCATTAGTGTAAATACACTGTAACTTTTACAACTGCCTACTCAACACATTGACTTGGTACCAAAATTAAAACATTAAAGCTCTCTCTAAAAATAATTAAGGTCGAGCTAACATTGAAAGGTCATTAATTAAGGTAATTAAAGATTAAGGGTACTACGAGATGGACGGAGCGTACAATTAAGGGCCTTTGATTACAACAATTTTGTTGTACAACAAATTAACAAAGTATTATATTTCTACGGTTTTTGACTGTAACGATCTATACGTAAACACACACTTCTTTGTTGCCTAAGATGTCAACAATTACAACATATTTTTGAATAATCCTTTTTTTAATAAAAAGCCCTACGCTTACGTCATGCTTTAGGCTATATATTTTCACGCCATTAAACATAGGGGGTAAGTATCTTGGAAAAAAACCCTAATGTGGGAAAGAGACCATAAGTTGCTACCAACATCAAGAAAGAAAGATTGCTAAGGTTTGTCATGTCATGTCAAGTCATTTCATTTTGACATTTGCTATTGATAATTTGACAAATGTAAACAATAAAATAAAATTTTCATAATTTCATGCGTATGAATCCGTATGGGAACAGCTAGTTACCTAAAACACACTAACTAAACTCAGAGATATTAAATATAGACTGTATTTCTAATAGTGTAGACGCTTTAGGCGGCCACAGAAGTAATCCATGCGTAGGACATGTTAAACGACCACTAAAGCAGACAATAAGAGTATGACCGACGAATTAGTGTGCACGGCGGGTAGTCCTTAGATGCTAAAAGCGGAGGATCGTATTCTGTGAAAGGCATTGGCGGCACACATAAAGGCTGAGGATGTTGAAGTTGAGCATGGCAGTAAGTCTAGGTAATATCACCAAGGTACTCTAAACTTATATGCAATGCATAAATAATACGTGCAAATTTAAAATTCAGGTTAAACTGTGCATATAAGCATCTAAATAGACGAGAGTAGGTCGTATTAAAATTGCACTCGTAATGTATTAAGCGTAAAATTCAAAGTTGGCAAGTTAACCGGATGCAGTCGGAATGCGCTCCATTGTTCATAACGGAGCAAACGAACCGCAAATAGAAGTTTGTAACTATACATACTGTTGTTCAAGTAATTGTTTACTAATGATATAAAAGAGCAAACTTACAACCATTTTCTACTGATCTTGATTCGCCATTCTACTCTGGTTCCGCAGCCGCAGCAGTGGAAATGGTAACATATTTCTACTAGTAGACTGCGCATGCAGAAGGCCCAAATAAAGTCTCTTTTTTCCACCATTTTCTTATAAGGATAGGATGAGAAGGGAAATTGGATTTGGACGGTCGATTAAACGCATAGGTGGAAATGTCCTCTTTATGTGCGTCATCATCATCATCATCACCAGCTCACTATACGTCCCCACTGAGGGGCTCGGAGCCTACACTAATATGGGGTAACTAGGCCATAGTCAACCACGCTGGCCAAGTGCGGGTTGGTTGACTTCACACATATCTTTGAATTTCTTCGCCGATATGTGCAGGTTGCATCACGATGTTTGTGCGTATCCTTTGCCAATTAAGGGTCTGCAATTGCGGATGTCTATGGATGGTCGCTTTGCCATTTTTGAGGATTAAGGTACCCGCTTGCTCGTTTACCACCTTATGTTAATAAAAACATTGTTAATAGAAGCAAAGCCGATCGTTTCTTAGTAAGTAAACTTAGATGTTATTCTTATTCGTAAATGTTTCTGTTACATATTCTTTGTATAGTATATAATCGTACTCATTCATCGAGAATAACAAAAGACATCGTAAGACTATATATAACATAGACATATGTTCTACACAAAGATGGAATATAAGAAAGGCTTTTAATTTTCTTTTTATGAACGTTTGACAACTTGAGAGATAGCTGTTTGTTTCTTATCATCGCTTGAATATTAAACACGGTAAAGCCACAATAAGGTACGTTTCAAAGAAAAATGTAGAGACATTTGGTATAATTTAATGCTTGCTGAATTGGAATTGTAAAATTAATAAGTCGAAGTGTTAAATTGGAATATCATCCTACTAATCTTACTAATATTATAAATGCGAAAGTTTAGATGGATGGATGTTTGTTAGAGTTTGTAGCCTAAACGTCTGGACGGATTTCGATAAAATTTGGTATAGATGTA